AACTTACTCTGTAACTTTGGCAAATTATATAACCCTATTAGATATCAGTTTCCTCATCTCTCAAATAAGGATAATGATATCTACTCAATAAATACATTATGAGAATAAAAAATAATTGTATGAAGTACCTGTCACAAAGTATACAATCAGTAAGTGATAGTTACTTCGGAAAATTTCTTAAGTCTTTACATAAGACTTATTTAGCTTTAATAATCTGCAGTATTAAAAAATCATAATTATATTCAGTTTAAAATGTATTTAGCATGACCTCCAGACATATATATTTTAATTTCAAAAAATAACTTTTACTGTAATATAGTTAAAAGTGTAAAATTACTGCTACTTTTATTATTAGACTTACAGCTGCTAATAAATCAAAATAATTACTTTTCTAACCAAACTATGAAAACACACAAAAGTTAATTATTTTATTTACAATACACCTTTTGTATGTAAAATATTTCTTTATATAAATATGTATTTGACATAAAGTAATTCATTCCCTTCTTAATCTAAAGTACAATTTAGATTACTGCCTAAATTCAAATAGAAAATCATATGGCAAAACTAAAAAAACCTTTTCATAAACACTTGAAGTAGAAATTTCACTCTGGAAAAGATGGAGTCACATGGACCAAATTTATATTCCTGGTTGAAATAACCAAGCAAACAGACAAAGTATATACAACAACAGTTTTCAAGATACTGCACATCAAGAAACAAAGAACAGTGATCCCTAAGAGATACAAAACAAATGAAGTGTGTATGTGATTGAGTTTCCAGATCATGCACCAGGAGGAGGAACTCAGGTAGGGACTGGCAGATTCCCCGAGTTGAAGAACTAAGAGTCCAAAAAGAACACAAACAGATTACCAGGAAGTGCAGGGAGTTCACAGGACAGATTACAGGAGAGAGACAGACATCTGCTATACAGATAGATAACTCTGGAGATCTACAGAGGGTTCCTCTGAAGTATTCTGCAGAGAACTAGCAGTGCATGGGTCTAAAGAAGCTACCTAAGTCTGACAGTAGTGCCTATTCTCACTAGCCAGACAGGGAAACCTCACATTCACAGGAAAATAGGCAGAATGCTCAGAAGGCTTTGCCTCAAAAGTGGGGAATTTAGTCCTAGACTAAATGCTGCTCTGGTCCTACCTAACGTATCTTAAAAGCACGACCAAAATGGACCAGTTTCAAAGTAATTTAATCACAATCCAGAACAAAGCTCAAGATATGAACATAACTAGCAACTAACAAGGTAAAATTCACAATGTCTGTCTTCCTAACCAAAATTAGCAGGTATGCAAAAAAGCAGGAAAAGAGGCTCACATTGAGGGAAAAGAAATCCATCAATTACAATACACTCATATCTGACACAGATGTTAGAATTAGTAGAGAAGGTCATTAAAACCATTACTATAACTGTATTCCATAAGTTGAAAACATACCCATAAAACAGATCCAAAACCAAAATCTCATTTCCAAAATCCAAATGTGAACTGCTAAAGATGAAACCTACAATTCTGAGAAGAAAAAAACATGGAATGTGATAATAGTAGATTAGACATACATAATAGCAGAAGAAAAGATCAGTTAACTTGAACACATAGCAAGAGAGACTACTCAAAAGGAAACATTGGGAGAAAAAATGTATTTTTAAAATGAAAAGAGAATCAGTGAGCTGTCAAACAACTTTAGGTGACATAAAAATGTGTAATTAGAGTCCCAGGAAAGGACGAGGAAAAGAAAACATATTTGAAGGAATAAAAGCTAATCTTTTTTCAAATTTGATGAAAACCATAAATTCAGATTCAAAGAGATTCACAAACACTAACAAGAATAAACATGAAGAAAAGGCACATATAATAAAATGTTCAATACCAGTGATACAGACAAAATCTCAAAAGCAGCCCAAACAAAAGAAGATATGTACAAAGATAGGGGTGCAAAGATAAGGATGACAGTAGATTTACCATCAGAAGCAATGCAAGTGAAAAGGCAGCAGAGCAAAAATTTTAAAGTACCGAAAGAAAAAAAAAAAAAACCTATCAACCTAGAATTCTATACCCAGTGAAAGTATCTTTCAGAAACAATGATGGAACAAAAACTTTTCCAGGGATGCAAAGCTGAAAGAATTAAAACCAGCAGAAATATATTATGTAAATACTATGTACAATACTTCCTTTATGTTATATGTTAAAGGAAGCTCTTTAGGCAGAAGGAAAATGATAGCAAATGGAAATATTCATCCACAGGTTTCTGAAGAACACTATAAATGTTCATCACAAGAGTAAATATACAAGATTTTTTCTTAGCATTTAAGTCATTTTAAAAGATAATTTATTATAATAATACCAATAAACTATAAATAGCAATACTAAATAAAAACAACATATTGTTGGATTTATAACATATGTAGAGGCAGAATATATGAAAACAAAGGCACAAAAGATGAGAAGGTAGAAAAAGAAGTATACAGTTTTAAAGTTCTTATACTCTATGTGAAGTATTGCAGTATCACTTGAAAAGTAGACTATTACATTGAAGATATAGACAACAAATGCTAAAGCCACAACTAAAAGAACATAAAGAGTTACAGTTAATAAGCCAACAATGGAGATAAAATGGAATCATTTTTTTAAAAAACCAAACAAGGCAGAAAAAGGGAACAAAGAATAAATAGGGTAAATAGAAAACAAACAGCAAGATGACATTTAAACCTAACAATATCAATAGTCACATTAAAGCAAATGGTCTAAATATCCCAATTGAGAGGTTATCTGATTACATAAAAAAGCTCAGAAGAAAGTTAACATGGCTACATTAGTATCAAACAGGGTCGATTTCAGAGAAAAGACAATTACCAGGAATAAAGAAGGTAATTTCATATTGATAAAGAGGTCATTTAATCAAAAAACACATATAGTTGTAAATATGACTGTGCAAATCTAAAACTATAATCAGAGATTTGAACACCCCTCTCTCAATAAATGATACCAGTAGACAGAAAATAAGTAAGAATATAGATTTGAGCAACGCAATTCAGCCAACTTGACATGCATAGAATATTCCACCCAACAACAAAAGAACACACATTCCTTTCAAGTATACTTGATGTTTTACCAAAACAAATTATGTTCTGGGTCATAAAACAAGTCCCAATAAGTTTAAAAGGATTCAAGACATACAAAATATGTGCTCTGACCACAATGGAATTAGATAAGAAATCAATAACAGAAAGATATCTGGAAAATCTACAGAATCCCTCTAACTACCCACTACTAAATAATCAATGGATTCAGATGAAATCAAATGGGAAATTTAAAAGTGTTTTGAATTGACTGAAGATAAACACACAACATACCAAAATTTGGGCAATGCCACATATATGAGTTTCCTATTGCTGCTCTAACAAATTATCACAAATATAGTGGCTTAAAACTACATGAATTTATTGTCATACATTTCTAGAGATTAGAAGTCTCTCTGGGTTAAAATCAAAGTGTCAAGTGGGCTGTGTCCCTTCCAGGGGTACCAGGTGAGAATCATTTCCTTGTCTTTTCCAGCTTATACAGGCTGCCCAATTGTCTCATCTTGGGTCTCTCTTCCATCTTGAAAACCAGCAGTTGCACCACTCCAACCTCTGCTTCCTTCATCACGTCTCCTCTTACTCTGACCCTTCTGCCTCCCACTGAGAAGAACTTTTTTGTTTGTTTGTTTGTTTGTTTGTTTGTTTGTTTGTTTTTTGAGACGGAGTCTCGCTCTGTAGCCCGGGCTGGAGTGCAGTGGTCGGATCTCAGCTCACTGCAAGCTCCGCCTCCCGGGTTCACGCCATTCTCCTGCCTCAGCCTCCCGAGTAGCTGGGACTACAGGCGCCCGCCACCTCGCCCGGCTAGTTTTTTGTATTTTTTAGTAGAGACGGGGTTTCACGGTGTTCGCCAGGATGGTCTCGATTTCCTGACCTCGTGATCCACCCGTCTCGGCCTCCCAAAGTGCTGGGATTACAGGCTTGAGCCACCGCGCCCGGCCGAGAAGAACTTTTGAGATTAAATTGGCATCACCTAGAGAATCCAGAATACTCTCCTCATTTCAAAATCCTCAACTTAATCATTTCTGCAAAATCCCTTTTGACATGTAAGGTAATATATTTACAGCTTCTGGGAATTATAGTATGGACACCTCTGGGGAGGGGCATTATTCTGCCTCCACACCGCTAACGTAAAATTTAGAGGTAAATAGCATCCAAAGGCCTCTATTATAAAAGAAGGAAAATCTCAAGTCAGTGAACTCCAGTTTTCATTCTAAGACACTAGAAAAAGAAAAGTAAATGAAACCCAAAGTAAGCAGAAAAAAGGAAATATAAAAATCACAGCAGAAATCAATGAAGTTGAAAAAAGCAAAATATAAGAGAAAATTAGTGAAACCCAAAGCTGATTTCCTAAGAAGATCAATAAAATTGGTAAACTTCTAGCCAAACTGAGTAGGAAAAAAGAGAGCAAACACAAATTACCAATACTGGGGGTGACAGAGATAATATAACTAAGATTCTACAGATGGTGAAAAATAAGGAAATATATATGATCTCATGCCAATAAATTTGACAACCTAGATGCAATATACACATTTCCTTAAAAGACAGAAGTAACCAAAGTTTACTAAAAAGGAAATAGATAACCTGAATAGCCATGACTTTATTTTAAAAATTAAATTTGTAGCTAGAAACCTTCCCACAAAGAAATCTCCAGGCCAAGGTGTCTTCACTGTAAATTCTACCAAATACTTATGGAAGAAATAATACCAATTCTACAAAACTCTCTCAGAAAATCAAAGAGGAGGGAATACTCACCAAGTCTTTGATATAAGCATTACCATGATACCAAAATGTTGACAAAGATATTTCAATAAAAATATAGACCAGTATCCCTCATGAACATAGATACAAAAATTATAATACAAATTTTTGAAAAGCAAATCAAACAACTATAAAAAGGATACTATACCATGACCAAGTGAGATTCATCCTAGTCATGAAGATTAGTTTAATATTCAAAAATCAATGACAGTCCAGGCATTGTGACTCATGCCTGTAATCCCAATAATTTGGGTGGCCGAGGTGGGAGATCTCTTGAGGCCAGCCTGTACAATATAGGGAGCTGCTGTCTCTACAAAAAAGAAAAAAATTCAATGACTACACAAATAAATGGTAAGTATGTGAGTAATGCATATGTTAATTATCTTGATTTATCAATTTCACAATGCATATATATTTTGAAACATCATATTGTATACCATAAATTTATACAATTTTAATTTGTCAATTAAAAATAATTTAAAATTTTAAAATAAAAGATGAAAAATCAATTAGTATTAATCATCATATTAACAGATTGAAAACAAAAAAATACATATTCATCTTAACAGACATTTTAAAAGATTTCACAAAATCCAAACATCCATTCAAGATAAAAATTCTTAGCAAATTAGGAATAGAAAGGAGCTTTCTCGACCTGATAAAAACTCTACAGCTAGCATTATACTTAATAATGAAACATGAGAATGCTTTAGCTTAAGATCAGAAACAAGAAAAGCATACTTGTTGACATAACTGCTTTAACTATTTGTATTAAACATTGTACTGGAGGTTCTAACCAGGTCATAAGTCAAGACAGAAAATAAAAGGCATTCAGATTGGAAAGAAATAACACTTTATTCACAGGCAACATGATCATTTATGCAGAAAATCCAACAAAATCTACAAAAATACTGCTAAACTAACCAGTGAGTTTAGCAGTGATTTAGGCCTGATACAAGGTCAATATTCAGAAAGCAACTGTATTTCTATATAGTAGTAATAAATAATCAGATACTGAAATCATAAAGCAACATAATTAACAATAACATAAAAATGTGAAAAGGTGAAAAATCCATTAAAATATGTGCAAGTCCTGTACACTGAAAACTACAAAACATTTCTGAGGGAAATTAAAGATCTAAATAAATGGAGAGGTACACATTGTTCAAGGGTCCAAAGAATCAATACTGTTAAGATGTCAATTCTTTAAAAATAGATCTGCAGATTCCAGGCAATCTCAAACAAAATATCAACATTTTTTGTAGAAATTAACAATCCAATTCTAAAATTCATATTGAAATGCAAAGACCAAACACAATGTTAAAAAAGGACAAAGATGACTTATGTGATTGCAGGACTTAGTATAAAGCTACATTAATCAAGACAGTGTAATATTTGCACTGCAATGATGAATAAATCAATGGAACACAAAAGAGAATCCATAGTCAACTGATTTTGCCCGAAGATGTAAATGCAATTTAGTGGAGAAAGGATTTTTTTTCTAAAAATACTGCTAGAACAACTGAATATCCACATGAAAAAAAAGAACTTTTATCCATACCTTGCACTTTATGCAAAAATTAATCAAAATGGACCATACACCCAAATGTAAAGCCTAAAACTATTACATTTCCAGAAGAAAACATAGGATAAAGTCTTGGTGATTTTGAGTTAGGCAATGATTTTTTAGATACAACACTAAAAGCATAATCTACGAAAGAAAGAATTAATAAATTGAACCTCTTATCAAAATTTAAAACTTTCTTTTTAAAAGTCACTAGAGGAAATAGTGTATACATCTGTCCAAACTTTTCAAACTGTACACTTTAAATATGTATAGTTTACTGCATGTCAGTTATACCTCAATAATGCTGGGGAGCTTTTTGTTTGTTTGATTTTTGAGACAAGGTCTCTCAGTCACTGAGGCTGAAGTGCAATGCACAATCAGAGCTCACTGCAGCATCGACCTCCCAGGTCCAAGCAGTCCTCCTGACTCAGCCTCCCAAGTAGCTGGGATCAATGGTGTGAGCCACCATGCTCAGATAATTTTTGTACTTCTATTTTTTGTAGAGACAGAGTCTCCCTATGTTGTCCTAGCTGGTCTTGAACTCCTGGCCTCAAGAAATCCTCCCACCTCAGCCTCCGAAAGTGTTGGGATTGCAGTTGTAAGCCACCACACCCAGTCAATAATGCCGTTTTTAAAAAAGACAATCAAGAAAAAAATATTATGTGCACTAACCTAAAATCATCTCTCCAATAATATAACCCTTCAGTGCAATTCATTAACTTAAAGCACAATGAACATTTTCTCAGCATATTTTTTCTTATAATAAAGGAAATGTAAAGTACAGAATAATGAATTAACAAATTTGTTTCTAAAGACATTTAAAATTAATCCGTGACGATGGACTAATAAAACATCTAGGTTAAAACCACTTCAGAAACATTTATTTCCTTTAAATTAAGCAAAGGAAGAATTTGTAATCCAATTCTATTTAAAGAATTTATGTCTATGTATACCATTAATTATTTTTAAAATTTATTTTTAATTTTTTAACTAGTTTTTTAATGTTAGTTTATGAAATATCGTAACTGTTTAGAGTAATCACTTTAAATGATTTTCAAAAGATATACCTAAAAGAGATGGCATTTAGCCTTTTTTTCATTCAGGCACACTGGAGAGGACACTGCCTGTCAACAGGTGCTCCCCTAGACCAGTGGTTGCCCAGGAGGGAAGGAAACGCCAGCAGGGGCATTATCAGAATATTTACGGATGGGAAGAAGCTAGTAGAGTACACTTGCTGAAAGTTCCCTGTCCCCGCGATTTTAATGGGGCATAAGCCAGCCAGAATGGACTACTGAGGATCCTTAATTTAAGGAAATATTAAAGCGGGCGTGGTGGTAAGCACTTGTAGTCCAAGCCGCTCAAGAAGTTAAGGTCAGAGGAGTGCTTTCAGGCCAGCCTGGGCAACATACCCAGACCTCAGTCTCTTTAAAATAATAATAATAATAATTTAATTTTAAGTTCCGAGATACAAGTGCAGGACATGCAGGTTTGGTACATAGGTAAGCATGGGCCATGGTGGTTTGCTACACCTATCAACCCAGCATCTAGGTATTTAAGCCCAGCATGCATTAGCTATTTTTCTGATGCTCTCCCCAGCCCCAAAACGGGTCCCACTGTGTGTTGTTTCCCTCCCTGTGTCCATGTATTCTCACTGTTCAGCTCCCACTTATAAGTGAGAAGATGCGGTGTTTGGTTTTCTGTTTCTGCTTTAGTTTGCTGAAGATAATGGCTTCCAGCTCCATCCATGTCCCTGCAAAGGGCACGATCTCATTCCTTTTTATGGATGCACAGTATTCCGTGGTATATGGGTACCACATTTTCTTTATCAAGCCTACCATTGATGGGCATTTGGGTTGATTCCATGTCTTTGCTATTGTGAATAATGCTGCAATGAATGTAGGCATGCATGTATCTTTATAATAAAATGATTTATATTTCTTTGGGTATACACCCAGTAACTGGATTCCTGGGTCAAATGGTATTTCTGGTCCTAGGTTTTTGAGGAATCACCACACTGTCTTCCACAATGGTTGAACTAATTTACATTCCCACCAAGAGTGTAAAAGCATTTCTATTTCTCCACAGCCTTGCCAGCATCTGTTGTTTCTTGACTTTTTAATAATTGCCATACTGACTGACATGAGATGGTATCTCATTGTGGTTTTGATTTGCATTTCTCTAATGATCAGTGATGTTGAGCTTTTTTTCCTGTTTTTTGGCCACATAAATGTCTTTTTTGAGAAGTGTCTGTTCATGTCCTTTGCCCACTTTTTAATGGGGTTATTTTTTTCTTGTAAATTTGTTTAAGTACTTTGTAGACTCTTAATATTAAACCATTGTCAGATGGATAGATTGCAAAAAAAATTCTCCCATTCTATAGGTTGTCTGTTCACTCAGATGACAGTTTCTTTTGCTGTGCAGAAGTTCTTCAGTTTTAATTAGACCTCACTTGTCAATTTTTGCTTTTGTTGCAATTGCTTTTGACATTTTTTTCATGAAATCTTTGCCTGTGCCTATGTCCTAAATGGTATTACCTAGATGTTCTTCTGGGTTTTTATAGTTTTGGGTTTTACATTTAAGCCATTAATCCATCTGGAGTTAAGTTTTGTATAAGGTGTAAGGAAGGGGTCCAGTTTCAATTTTCTGTATATGGCTAGCCAGTTCTCCCAGAACCATTTATTACATAGGGAATCCTTTCCCTATTGCTTGTTTTCATAAGGTTTGTCAAAGATCAGATGCTCATAGATGTGTGATCTTATTTCTGATCCATTGGTCTATATGTCTTTTCTTGTACCAGTACCATGCTGTTTTGGTTACTGTAGCCTTATAGTATAGTTTGAAGTCAGGTACCGTGATCCCTCCAGCTTTGTTCTTTTTGCTTAGGACTGTCTTGACTATATAGGCTCTTTTTTGGTTCCATATAAATTTGAAAGTAGATTTTTCTAATTCTGTGAAGAATGTCAATGATAGTTTAATGGAAATAGCATTGAATCTATAAATTACTTTAGGCCGTATGGCCATTTTCATGATATTGATTCTTTCCAACCATGAGCATGGAATGTTTATGTCTTCTCTGATTTCCTCGAGCAGTGGTTTGTAGTTCCCCTTGAGGAGGTCCTTCATGTCCCTTGTTAGCTGTATTCATAGGTATTTTATTCTCATTGTAGCAATTGTGAATGGGAATTCATTCATTTGGCTCTCTGCTTGTCTATTGTTGGCGTATAGGAATGCTTGTAATTTTTGCAAACTGATTTTGTATCCTGAGACTTTGCTGAAGTTGCTTATCAGCTTAAGAAGCTTTTGGGCTGAGATGATGGGGTTTTCTAAATATAGGATCATGTTATCTGTGAACACAGACAGTTTAATTTCCCCTCTTCCTATTTGAATATGCTTTATTTCTTTCTCTTGCCTGATTGCCCTGGCCAGAACTTATGCCTATGTTGAATAGAAGTGGTAAGAAAGGGCATCTTTGCCTTGTGCCAGTTTTCAAGGGGAATGTGTCCAGCTTTTGTTCATCCAGTATGATATTGGCTGTGGGTTTGTCACAGATGGCTCTTATTATCTTGAGGTATGCTCCATCAATACCTAGTTTACTGAGAGTTTTTAACATGAATGATGTTGAATTTTTTCAAAGGCCTTTTCTGCATCTATTGAGATATGGTTTTTGTCTTTAGTTCTGTTTATGTGATGAATCACATTTATTGATTTGCATATGTTGAACCAGTCTTGCATCCCAGGGATGAAACTGACTTGTCATGCTGGATAAGCTTTTTGATATGCTGCTGGATTCAGTTTGCCACTATTTTATTGAGGATTTTTGCATCGATGTTCATCAGGAATATTGTCCTGAAGTTTTCTTTTTTGGTTGATCTCTGCCAGGTTTTGGTACCAGGATAATGCTGGCCTCATAAAGTGAACTAGGGAGGAGTCCCCCCTTTTCAATTTCTTGGAATAGTTTCAAAAGAAATGGTAACAGCTCCTCTTTGTAACTCTGGTAGAATTCAGCTGTAAATCCATCTGGTCCTGGGCTTTTTTTTTTTTTTTTTGGTTGGTAGGCTATTTATTACTGCCTCAATTTCAGAACTTGTTATAGGTCTATTCAGGAATTCGACTTCTTCCCGGTTCAATCTTGGGAGGAGGCATATGTCCAGGAATTTATCCATTTCTTCTGGATTTTCTAGTTTATCTGCATAGAGGTGTTTATACTATTCTCTGATGGTTGTTTAGTTTTCAGGAGTCAGTGGTGATATCCTATTTATCAATTTTTATTGTGTCTACTTGATTCTTCTCACTTTTCTTCTTTATTAGTCCAGCTAGTAGTTTATTTTATTTTATTTTTTTCAAAAGAACAGCTCCTGGATTCATCGATTTTTTGAAGGATTTTTCATGTCTCTATTTCCTTCAGTTCTGCTCTGACCTTGGTTATTTCTTGTCAACTGCTATCTTTGGGGTTTGTTTGCTCTTGGTTCTGTAGTTCTTTTAGTTATGAGGTTAGAGTACAAATTTAAGATCTTTCTAGTTTTTTGATGTGGACACATAGTGCTATAAATTTCCCTCTTAACACTGCATTAGCTGCATACCAGAGATTCTGGTATGTTGTCTCTTTTTTCTCATTGGTTTCAAAGAACTTTTGATTCTGCCTTAATTACATTATTTACCCAGGAGTCGTTCAGGAGCAGATTGTTCAATTTCCATGTAGTTGTGTGGTTCTGAGTGAGTTTCTTAATCTTGAGTTCTAATTTGTGCTGTGGTCTGAGAGACTGTTACGATTTCATGCCTTTTGCATTTGGGTTTCCCTTTGCAGGTGACCTGGTCTTTCTCTCTGGCTGCCCTTAACATTTTTCCTTCATTTCAACCTTACAGAATCTGATGATTATGTGTCTTGGGGCTAATCTTCTCATGGAGTATCTTACTGGGCTTCTCCGGATTTCCTGAATTTGAATGTTAGCCTGTCTTGTTAGGTTGGGGAAGTTCTCCAAGATGATATCCTGAAGTATGTTTTCCAACTCGATTTCATTCTCCCTGCCAACTTGGTTTCATTCTCCCCGTCTCTTTCACGTACCCCAATCGGCCATAGTTTGGTATTTTTACATAATTCCATAGTTCTCCAAGGTTTTGTTTGTTCCTTTTCATTCTTTTTTCTCTAGTCTTGTCTGACTGTCTTATTTGAGCAAGACAGCCTTCAAGCTTTGAAATTCTTTCCTCTGCTTAGTCTATTCAGCTAGTGATACTTGTGGTTGCATTGTGAAGTCCTTGTGTTGTATTTTTCAGTTCCATCAGGTCATTTATGTTCCTCTACAAACTGGTTATTCTGGTTAACAGTTCCTGTAATGTTTTATCATCATTGTTAGCTTCTTCGCATTGGGTTAGAACATGCTCCTTCAGCTCAGCAAACTTCGTTATTACCCACCTCCTGAAGCCTACTTCTGCCAGTTCATCCATCTCAGCCTCCTCCCAGTTCTGTGCCCTTGCTGGAGAGGTGTCGTGATCACTCAGATAAGAAGAGGCACTCTGGTTTTTTGAGTTTGCAGAGTCTTTTCATTGATTCTTTCTCATCTTCATGAGTTTATCTAGCTTCGATCTTTGAGGCTGCTGACCTTTGGATGGGGTTTTTGTGGGGACTATTTTTTGACCCTGTTGTTTTTGTTGCCTTCTGTTTATTTTTCTTTTAATAGTCAAGTCCCTCTTCCATAGGGCTACTGCAGTTTGCTGGGGGTCCACTCCAGACCCTATTCACCTGGGTCCTTCTCACACCTGGAGGTGTCACCCAAGGAGGCTGGAGAACAACAAAGATGGGTGTCTGCTCCTTCCTCTAGGAGCTCTGTCCCAGAAGGGCACCAACCTGATACCAGCAGAAGTGCTACTGTATAAAGTGTCTGGTGACCCTGTTGGGGGGTCTCACCCAGTCAGGAGGCATGGGATCAGGGACCCACTTAATGAAGCACTCTGGCTGCCCCTTGGCAGAGGGGGTGCACTCTACTGGGGGAAATCCCACTTGTCCAGACTGTCTGGATTCCTCAGAGCCAGCAGGAGGAAAGACTAAGTCTGCTGATCTCTGGAGATCACAGCTACCCCTCCCCACAGGCACTCCATCCCAGAAAGATCAGAGTTTTGTCAGGAAACCCCTGGCTGGAGTTGCTGAAATTCCTGCAGGGAGGCCCTACCCGTTGAGCAGGGATGGATCAGGGTCTAGCCTAAAGAGGCAATCTGGCCACAATCTGCCACAACTGCTGTGCTGTATTACGGGGAATTCCTCCTGGGTCCAAACTTCTCAGTCTCCTCAATTTTCTTAGGCATCAGTGATGATGGTTGCCCCTCCCCCTGAGAACTGGGTAGCCTTAAACAGTCTTGAGCTGAGCAGCCATAGAGAATCTGCACAGTTCTGCACTTGGGACCCAAGGCTCTGGTGGCGTGGGCTCATGAGGGGATCTCCTGACCTGTGGTTGCAAAGATCATTGGAATCAGCATGGTTTCCAAGGTGGGGTAGCAGAATCACTAACTGCCTACCTTGGCTGGAGGTGGGAGCTTCCCTTGCCCCATGTGGCTACCAGGTGGACCATTGCTCTACCCTCCTTTTCCTCGCTCTCTGTGGGTCATGCCAACCACCTAGTCAGTCCCAGTGAGAAAACCTGGATACCTCAGTTGACAGTGCAGGATTCACTCACCTTTTTCTTTCTTCTTGGTGAGAGCCTCCAACTGCAGCTGCTTCTGGTCAGCCATCTTGGTCCCTCCCTCTTACCGATCTCTTAAAAAAACAAACATATGAACCTGAAATTTCAGTTAGACACTAGGTCAGAAAGTAAACCTAACTCTGTAAATTAGTTATTTCATCCTCATATGTCCATAAATTTACACACATACATGCACATTATGTTCAGTAATGTGAGTTCAGATTTCAAAAAAGCAAATCACTTGTCAGGCTCTGTGGTTATAAAAACATATGTAATACTTGAGTGTTAAATAAAAATCCTGCTTTGTGGTTATATTTTAATGTAATCTAATTTTTTAAAATGTCAAATGAAACCTATTTTTCCAGTTATAACTCACTAAAAATAGATCAGAGAAGAAACTGCTCATTAACATGTCCACAAACAAATAGAAATGTATTAGTGCCACCCTGTAGTAAACTTCACACCTAATAAAATTTTATTCAAATAAAAAAGCTATTGTGATTTTTTTTTTAATGCAGACAGTTGAAACCAATATTTGTTTAATCAAAAATTCAGTTTTCTAACTTGTAAATATTTTTCTGGATCCCTTATTATATTGAGACTTTTCTGCAAGAAAATTTGATGTCTTTTATGTTTAGGATTCCCCAAAATTGTGCATTTCACATGCTCCATAAATGTTTACTGAATGTGCTTATGATGCATTAATACTTAAATGCAAAACTCTCTTACAGAAATCATCAAGAATAGACACAAAAGTATAGCTGGAAGGTTATTCACTATAGCTTATTTAAAATAGCAAAAAAAATTGGAACCAACATATCTATCCAATAATAAGTTGGTTAGATAATTTGTACCATATACTGGTATAATATACTGTCATTAAATATGGTATGGTGATGATCATCTGAGGTCAGGAGTTTGAGACCAGCCTGACCAACATGGTGAAACTCCTTCTCTGACAAAAATACACAAAATTAGCTGGGTGTGGTGGCATATGCCTGTAATCCCAGCTACTTGGGAGGCTGAGACAGGAGAATCTCTTGAACCCAGAAGATGGAAGTTGCAGTGAGCTGAGATCATGCCACTACACTACAGCCTGGGTGACAGAATGTCTCAAAAATAAAAATAAATAAATAAAATAAATAAATATAAATAAATAAATAAGCAAAGAAGAAGAAATTACTCATGAAGCCAGTATCAACTACAGCAACTGGTATAAATTCTTTCCTGATCCTTCCCTATGTATTGGATTTTGATACTTTATGTTTGCAGCATATTTTAAATCAGACTACTGTTACACTTTTATCATCATACACTTATTATTTACCTGAAATTAAATGATATATCTTTTGCATATCTTATAACTGTTATAAACATATTAATTAATGATGATATATTACTTAATAGAGCAAAGAGTTTGCTTAGTCATTTCCTAACTGTTAGAGATTTTAAAGTGTGTATGGGTTTATGTCTCTTTAATATTACTTTATTAAATGTAATAAGCCTGGCACAGTGTACAAGACTGGGAGCTACTTTTCTCTAATCTTGTATATTCCCTCTACTATCAAATCTTGCCAGTTCTACCTCCTAAAAATTTATTTAATCAATACACTACTCACAGTTCTTTCTCATGCCCAAGCCACTAGCTCTCAATTGCCTTTCAGTAGACTCCTTATTTCCATCTCTTGTCTCTCAATCACTTTGTAGCCAGAATGATCCCTTCGGAACTCACATCTGATCATATAATTCATCTGCTTTTAATTTTCTTTAGTCGCTTTTTATTTGTATTCAAAGTAAAGTACAAAATTAGAACCATGACCTTTGAAGTTCTCTCCCCTCTGGCTCCCGCCTATCTCTCCAGGCTCATCTCCCACCCTCCTTTCTCTGCAGGTCACCATTCTGGACTTCTCGGTTCCTGCATCACAACAGCATATCCCTCCAGGGGTTAAAATGTGTAGTGTAGTCTTTTCTAATGGAAACCTTTTATTTTTTTCCAGAACAAATTATATTCACCCTGAAGGTCTCGATTTCAACATCACTTCTGCTGAAAGACCATCCTCATCCCCTTCAGAACAGGGTAGGACCCCCAGTTATAAATTTTCTAAGCTCTCTGAGCATTTCCTTTTGATGCAGGACAGAGAAGCCCCAACACTGGGGCTTAACCCAGGAGGGTTCTTAGCTTCTCTCAGGAAAGAATTCAAGGGAAAGCCAGTGGTGTTAGACAGCAATCTTTTATTGAACAGTTGCAGAGCAGGGCTAACACATAGGCAGTGTGTCCAGAGTCAGCAATGCATGGGTTCCTGTCAGTTGTATTTATATTCATGTAAACCCAATTTCAATTACATGCAAATTAAGGAGTGGGTCAATGTAAATTGAGGAATGGGTAAATTAGAACTTTCTAGAAAGGGGTGGTAACTTCTGAGTCATTGCCATGGAAATGAGTGGTCACTTTCCAGTCATTGTGATGGCACTGGTGGGAGTATCTTATGCCAATAAGCAATGAGGGCAGCTAGGGATGGCTTTTGTTGCCATCTGCTGATTCCTGCCAGTTTCTTCACTTTATCCTGTCTGGATCAGATCCTGTTTTGGTCAGCAGGGTTGTGACCAGAAAAAAAGTCCTGCCAGTGTCCTACCTCATTTTCATAATATTCATCAATTCTCTGGTAACAATAAGCATGTTGTTAGGGCTTTAGAAACATGATGCAAAGTGAAGCCTGGTGATTTAAAGTATAGGCTCTAGACCCTAGGCAACTCACCTGACTTCCCTATACTCAAGTTTCTTCATCTTTCTTTTTTTTTTTTTTGTAGCTCTCTACAAAAGGAGGAAATTGCTTCATCTTTAAAGTAGGATACTGACAGTATCTGTTTCATAGGGTTGTTATAAACACGTAGATATAATCTCTTCTTGCTCTTGCAAAGTGATTTACTATATTTCGAAGGTGCTAGTAGTTTATGTCTAGTAAAGAATGACGCTTCCTATCAAGCCAAAGTTAAGAATAAACATTATCAATATATTTCCTGAAAATACATGAGTTTTGTAGTGTTCTCTCTTATAATCATGAGGCATGTGTCCAGGGATTCCCGAAGTAGGCATGTTTTCCCAGGCCAAGTGCCAAAGCACTGGAGAGGACCTTTTTATAAAGGATGATCTCTGTATTGCCTCAAAAAGGAGGGCACACGGCTAGAGTTATGGAAAACAGGTAAAAGTCCCTGACAATTTCTAAGCCACCATAGCATCACCTGATGCTGCTTGGATACAGCCATTCATAAAAACTGCATATCACCTTATCAAGCCATTATCGCTACCGAGGATATTTTCTGCTACACTGCATTGACTGATTGCTGTGGATTGCCTGTCGACAGCACTCAAAGTCAAAAAGCAAGTTCCCTACCAAAAATTAAAGCTGAAACTGCTCCATCCTTAAGCCAGCAATATGGAATTTTAAAGAGTGTTATTATTTTGACAAGTATATTTTATGTTGTCTTCAGTTACTATCACAACAGGAAATAGAATTTCAGCTATTAAATTCTACATTCCCAGGCAGGTTCTACTTCTTCTCTCTGTTTAAGGTGTTACTGTTTCCACATTTGCTTTTTATGAGCAAATTAAAATCTCTGAGGGTTATTTTCCTTTCCATAAGGCAAAAATGGGCCCATGTTGTAATTCCATTGGATATGATTTAGCATTTTTGTCATCACATTGTGATCATTAAAGCAGAAGTCTGCCACATGCTAACGAATACCGTATTTAAAATAAACCAACAGGCAGCTATGGCAGTGAAATCACTCATCCAGTTACTATGTCGGTAGTGTAAAAACAAGAACCTCTTTTTAGAAGAAAGATAAAGATAAACTCAAAATACACTATCTACACAGCAATAGAACAACTCTACAATGTTATCTCCAGAACAATTTTCACAAATCGTAAATATAAACCTTCTGCATAGACAGCACATTTAGCAGGCCCCTGTGAAGGATGACAATGGCTTTAGAAAGATAAATTAATTAGCAGGACTCTTGTGTCTACACGCAAACAAATTAGTGTTTTGTGTACCTGACAGCTCGTATCAATATTGCAAATATCCATGACCAGTAAGAACTGTGTTTGGATTTCATAGGTTGGATTTTCCACCTCTTGCATTTCATTGAGAGCTAAAGATGGTGCTAAAGAAACAGCTCCAAGGAAAAGTATGACACTTGCCTTCAACATTTAGCTTTTCAAACTGAAGTGTTAACAAAAGTATTTATTAACTTAATTTCTCTTTGTCTTGTGACACATAGAATGTATCACTTGCAGCAAAATCCATCAGTTGGAACCAAATCAAGGCAAGATGCAAAAGGTGGATAATGGATTGTGCGAAATAACTTTATGATTTATAAGAAGCACAATTTCAGTGTAATCTTCTGTGTGAATTAGAAATGTCCAGAGTTATTTTAAACATTGCTTTCAGTGAAACAATACATCTTGAATACCATCCACGTAGGTGGCTTACAGACATAAATCATTAACCAGTAAAGGCAGCTGACATACCAGATTTTATAGAATAAAGTAACAAGAGACCAGAAAGATATTTCTAGAGCTCAGTCCTAAGAGTTATCTATTAATTACACCAAATTAAATGATCATAATTGTATAGTACATGGCAGGATGGCTTCTTGCTTAGGAGCATATAATATAAATGTCAATAACATCTCCCATGACATAATCTACAATGACAACTGTTGTATTCAAATCCATGCCAGCCTTCCTGGCCATCTTATGAAGGGCAGCAGCATACTTGGGGGCTCAGTGCCCCTGCACTGCTAAGAGCTTACATGCCTGCCAGAAGAGAACCACCAAAGTAATCACCCTGATGGGAGCGCAGTCACCAGTTTACATTGAGTAAACTGCTTTTTCTTCCCAATGTTTTTTTTTTTCCTTTTGGAGGGAAAACACTAAAGGCAATGACATCCACATATATTGAAATGGCTACAGCCACTTCTGGTGTTGATGATCATTAGATGCATGGCTAGTAAATGATATAAATAGTGATATAAAGGTTGTGTCCTAATAAAAATACCTGTGGGCTATTAAAGAAATGATTAACTTTAATTTTAAAAATTGTCTGGATTTTCTAAATAATCCTCTGGGGCTGACGGATACAGTCAATTACATTTCAGAAAATCTAATCTTACAGTGGTCTCTGAGAGTGATTTGGGAGACAGGCCATTTGGAATACAATAGAGAAACGAAAGTTAGAGATTAAAAATTCCTGATATTCTATACTAAGCAGGACTTTAATGATCACCTAATTCAGCAGTCCTTAACTTTTTAGGAGGCATTATCACTTTGGGGGATCTGATGAAAGCTACAGACCTTCTCCCTAGAGGTAAAATCTTTAGACATCTCAGAATCCCTGAAGCTCATCCTTGGACATCAATTTAAGAAACTTCATTTATAGATGAAGAAATTAAGGAGAAGAGAGACAAAGTGACTCATCCAGGGTCATGCAGCTTGTTAGTGACAGAGGCGAGATGGAAAGCCTGCTTTTCCTGCTCCTTGTCTGCTGTCATCTGCTGCATCAGGCTCTATGTGGACTTAAATGTTCTACTAAACCACTCCTATCAACTGGCCAAAGAACAGTTATTAAGTGTCTATAATTAGAATTTATACCCACTAGTCCTCTTTCTAACCAAATACAAAATCTTATTCTCTCTGTTCATTCTCCTGAACCTATTCAGGTCCATGTGAACTCACTCTATCCTCCTAGCCTCCTCCCCCAGCACCACCACTTTCTTAAAACTCCCTCCTTCCAGGGTTCCTGTGATCATTCAGATTCTTCCCACTTCTTCCAGGGTTCACCTCCCTCCCTTCATGTGTGTGTGTGTTTTTAAGAGACAAAGTCTTGCTCTGTCACCCAGGCTGGAGTGCAGTCATGCAATCCTAGCTCACTGCAGCCTCAAACTCCTGGACTCAAGAGATCCTCCCGCCTCAGCCTCTCTAGCAGCTGGGACTATAGGCATGCACCATGGTTCCAGCTAAGTTTTTCATTTTTTGTAGAGAAGTTGTCTTGCTATGCTGCCCAGGCTGGTCTTGAACTCCTAGGCTCAAGCGATCAGCCTGCCTCCACTCCCCAAAGTGTTGGGATTACAGGCACAAGCCACCACACCTGGTATCCTCTCCCATTTGTTATCTCCTTAGTTGCTACCATTTCTCCTCTCTCCAGGGGTTCCCTAAAGCTCAATCCTACTCTCCTTTAAATCCATTCTCAACCTTCTTACTGTTACTTCTATTTAATAGAACTCCTGTGAAAATTGTCAGTACCCAAAATGGAGTCATTTATGTCAAACGCTAACAAAACGCAGTGGGAAGCCATGAAGGAAGGGCCCTCACACATGTGTGCCTGCACCAGGAATCGCCAGAAACCACTTCCTCAATTGGAAATTTCCAGTTAAGCCACTTCTATGAAAGCTCTCTCCTACCAACAGCCAGTACCACTAATAAGCAAACGCCACTGCATGTAACAAGACCCTGTAGTCAGTGGTCTGTCTTTATTTCAAAACAGGTACATGGATATCTTTTTGCCTTTAAAAGCTTCCTTTTTTCTCAGCTCCCTTGGATACCCTTATGGTCCTCCATAGCAGGCATGTGTTATGTATTATGTCGATTGCAGTTCCTTGCTATTCCCCAGTAAGCTTGAGAATTAATCCCCGTTGCTCAATTTAGGTTGACACCATTCTCACCCTGTTTACAGAAACACTTCCCAATAATAGTTTTAACAGGTACCTCTATTGGCCGGGCGCGGTGGCTCAAGCCTGTAATCCCAGCACTTTGGGAGGCCGAGGCGGGCGGATCACAAGGTCAGGAGATCGAGACCACAGTGAAACCCCGTCTCTACTAAAAATACAAAAAATTAGCCGGGCGCGGTGGCGGGCGCCTGTAGTCCCAGCTACTCAGGAGGCTGAGGCAGGAGAATGGCGGGAACCCAGGAGGCGGAGCTTGCAGTGAGCCGAGATCGCGCCACTGCACTCCAGCCTGGGCAACAGCGTGAGACTCCGTCTCAAAAAAAAAAAAAAAAAAAAAACAAAAAAAAAAAACAGGTACCTCTATTGAATATAATTTCCTCCCCCTAACCTGTTCCTATTTCCACCCTCTCATCTACCAGGCACTGGTGACTTGAACACTGCTTGTGCCCTGTGATGTCCAGCTCTATATTTGGCACATACATAGACAGCAAGAGCAGTATAAATGTGGATTAACTGACATGTGAAGGTTTCCTCACATCTCAGTGAAGATAGTATACAAATAGAAAAAAAAGTGATAGTATACAAATAGACAATTTAGCAATAATTCTGGTGATTTTATAAGAAGTTTTGCAAATTTGACAAAATTTACTTTTTCAAATGAAACTTTGCTTTCTTTTTTTGCAAGACAGTATAACTAGTTTTATTCTTTTTTTGGGCAAGTGGTTTCTTAAAAGAGGATACAGCTCCCCCTCATGGATGATAACGATATTTTAAAGACAGCCCTTCCAACTCTATGATGCATTCTGAAATGTGTGGTTAATAAAACTAAGTCGTACGTAGCAACAACATTCAGACTGTTAATTATCCAAAGCTCCTCATGTAGATCTAAAACAACAACACGTTCTAAGGAACGGATCCTTCTTGAGCAGAAGTATATTTTCAAGACTTCAAAAGGAGATATTCAGTAACATCATTTGATATTCAGTACTCAATTACAAAAGACTTTCTTCATTAGCTCAATACATCAAACCACTGTGATAATGAGGCCAGAGTCCTGGATTTGGTTCTAGTTTGGGAAGCTGCTTTGATTGGTTCCATAGCTTCAAGTTTCACACTAACTCCCGGGAGTCATCATAAAATGATTTGTCCTGAATCACAGGATATCCGGAGTGCCAGAGAGCAAAGAAACAGTTCAGTTCTGACTTTCTCCGACTGGGAATCACCCCCCAAAATGCTGGGGCATTAAAAGTGGCTTTATATTTCTAAAAATTCTTTCACATAATGGCAACTGCCTTCTTTCCCCAGAACCACAAGGCGGCTAATAAAGCCCTTTATTTCTGGAGATGGAGTCTCGCTCTGTCGCCCAGGCTGGAGTGCAGTGGCGCGATCTCGGCTCACTGCAAGCTCCGCCTCCCGGGTTCCCGCCATTCTCCTGCCTTAGCCTACCGAGTAGCTGGAACTACAGGCGCCCGCTACCATACCCGGCTAATTTTTTTATTTATTATTTTTTATTTTTAGTAGAGACGGGGTTTCACCGTGTTAGCCAGGTTGGTCTTGATCTCCTGACCTCGTGATCCACCCGCCTTTGTCTCCCAAAGTGCTGGGATAACAGGCGTGAGCCACTGCACCCGGCCATTAAAGCCCTTTTTTAAAAAATTTTACTTTAAGCTCCAGGATACACGTGCAGAACATGCAGGTCTGTCACATAGGTATACCTGTGCCATGGTGGTTTGCTGCACCTATTGACACGACCTCTAAGTTCCCTCCCCTTGCCCCTTACCCCACAACAGGCCCTAGTGTGTGTTGTTCCCCTCCCTGTGTCCATGTGTTCTCATTATTCAACTCCCACTTATGAGTGAGAACACACAGTGTTTGGTTTTCTATTCCTGTGTTAGTTTGCTGAGGATGATGGCTTCCAGCTTCATCCATGTCCCCGCAAATGACATGATCTCATTCCTTTTTATGGCTGCATGGTATTCCATGGTATACATGTACCTATTTTCTTTATCCAGTCTATCATTGATGGGCATTTGGGTTGGTTCCATGACTTTGCCATTGTAAACAGTGCTAAAATAAACATATGTGTGCATGTGTCTATTAAAGGCCTTTTAAATGTTCATCAAGTTACTTGCTTTTTGTGACTATGTAAGTCAGACAGTTTTACTAAGTGTGTGTGTGTGATTCCATCTTAAAATTTGACATTCCACTGAATACAAAAAATTAAGATAATCTACTTGACAAAATACTTTTCAAATTACCTTTTTATTTGGTCTTTTATATCTGGAGCCATGGCAGTCTGTATAAAATCAGGAGCATATCCCAGGTCCTAAAATATAAAAATAAATGTATTATTCACTATTAGATATATTTGGCTATCAAAGGCAATAATGCAGACTAGTCAACCTTTTAATTGTTTCCAAGGCTATAATGAACATTAAGAAATTGTAATATTTATGTTGCTTGATGTGAACTAATCCCATGTGAATCTGAAATATAATCAATTGATGTAAAGATCTAGTATTATGTTCAAGACACACTAAACTTTCATTATCATCAAAGTGAAAAAATTGGGCTTTAAAACAACTAAACAAAGTAACCACTTCTCTTTTACGATCTATTAGCAGCTTTTTTGTTCACTTGTTTTTGAGGCAGGGTCTCTCTGTGTCACCCAGGAGGGAGTGCAGTGGCACAAGCACAGCTCATTGCAGCCCCAACCTCCCAGGCTCAAGCGATCCTCACGCCTCATTTTTTTAAAAAATTGTTTTGTAGAGACAGGGTGTCACTATGTTGCCCAGGCTACTCTTGAACTCCTGGGCTCAAGTGATCCTCCCACCTCAGCTTCCCAAAGTGCTGGGATTACAGGCCTGAGCTATCACACCCAACTAGCTGCAGTTTTAACTGCAAAGTTTCACTAAAACCTAAAGTTACCAACATTATAAATGCCCTAAACATTCATTACTAAAAGCCTACACTATTCCTTAGAGAAACCAGTGATTTCACGTTTAGTTGATAGATTATAGAAACAGATACAGGAAAACCAAAAGGGTAGATTGGAGTAAGAGTCACCACAGGTGATGTAGCTATTCAAAAGTACCTCCTTTGTGATCAAACTGCCCTTTAAAGCACAAACTAGATAATTAACCTAGGTACGTTATGATGGGGACTTTTTAAATTAATTTCACCAAATCAAAGCAGCTTCTTACATAGACTACAAATCACAAAGTTGATGCTATAGCTGTAATAATACTTACATTTTCTCTAACAAGCTAAATAATTTGAATGGTTCTCTTGTCTAAATGGAATTTCTGCTGGGGTATTCCATGCCTCAGGCCAATTTCTAGGCCTTAAATATTAAAATAAGAAAATTTAATCCATCTGTAGCAACTGAAATATTTCAAAATTAAGACTAAAACATTTATCAGGTACTATATGTGATAGCATAAGCAGTTCTCCATGGTAATAAGGTTTTCCATAAATAAAATTTTAATGGCTATGTAAGATTTTACTGCCTGACTCTCTCCTCATTTATTTAACCATTTCCTTATTGTTAAGCATTTAGGTCTTTCCTTCTGTGTGTGTTTTATAAATAAGGCTACCATATCCATCTCTGTGAACAAAAGTTCTATAATTAGCTGCATTTCCTTAAGGTATTCTGATATAAAGATCATAAATAACCAAACTACTTACCTTTTTTCTAACAACAATAGCACTTAATATTTTTAAAGTTTTACAATAAATCACTTACATAAACACTGCCTTGTATAATTAGCCTTTAAGGTATTGTCTTTAAGGTCTAGCCTTAGCGGTATGGCTGGGGGCTATTAAGGTGACTACAATAGTTAACTTATAGGCGATTTTACTTTTGTAGCAGTTAGCAGGAACATAGTTTATCTCTGAGAGATAATAAAAAATCAAATAGGTTGACTAAGGCAGGCGGATTGCTTGAGCCCAGGAATTAGAGACCAGCCTGGGGAAATATAGAAAGAATCCATCTCTACAAAAAAAAAAAAAAAAATTAACCAGGTGTGGTGGTTCATAACTGTAGTCCCAGCTACTCAGGTGGCTGAAGTGGGAGGATCTCCTGGGAGGTAGAGTCTGCAGTGAGTTGAGATAGCACCAGTGCACTCCAGCTTGAGTGACAGAGCAAGATTTTGTATCAAAAAAAGAAAATCATCTAGCTTCTTTCCATACAGTAGTTGTCTTAGTCCGTTTTTACGCTGCTGTAAAGATGCTATGTGAGATTGGGTAATTTATAAACAAAGGAGGTTTAATTGACTCACATTTCCACATGGCTGGGGAGGGCTCAAGAAACTTACAATCATGGTGGAAGGCAAAGAGGAAGCAAAACATATCTTACATGGTGGGAGGAGAGAGAGAAAAGGAGAGAAGGGGGAAACACCAGACACTTACCAAACAACCAGATCTCCCTCACTATCAAGAGAACAGTATCAAGAGAACAGTATATGAGAACTCCCTCACTATCAAGAGAACAGTATGGGAGAAATCACCCCGGTGATCCAATCACCTCCCACCAGGTCCCTTCCTGGACACACGTGGGGATTACAATTCGAGATGCCACTTGGTTGGGGACACAAAGCCAAACCATATCAGAAGCTGAGGAACTGGAAGAAAAACATAAAGTGTATTTTAGTTTTTAAAATTTAAATTTAACAATGAATTAATCAAAGTTGAAAAAATGTATGAGTAAAACATTATTTTACAGTACATTATCCAAATATAGAAGTTGTAGATATATTCTTATTCATTTGGAGGTACTTCCTGGCAACCCTCTCTATCTTAATGAGTTGTCACTGTACTTTACATTTCAACCATTGACTTATTAGAGTGGTAATCCATATACTTAATCATGCTGACAAAAAGTAAATTACTATATGGTAACAGACAAGTAAGGAAAATACAGCAGCGGTGACAGATTTCCCTATTCCCGGTGATCTCCAAGAATTATTTCCTTCCAATGGCAAAGGTCTCATTTTAAAACAAATCATATATTTCCTTTACCCATTGTGCAATTGTCTTTGCTATTCCAAGTTCATAATTAATTAAGGCAAAAATTGATCCTGCTTATTGACATATGATGTAAATATGAGGGGTCAGTAGCATCCTCAAAGGAAAGATTTGCTGTTACCAAGCCCCTAGTTTCCCATAATCCTAAAATAACTAGTTTTCTTCAAGTTACTTCCTTATTAAAAAATGTTATGCAAAGGCAGTTCCAAGAGTACGAAAAAAGGGCTATAAAAGCCTAAAGAAAAAGTACCATCACAAGGCAGTGTTGTCTTCTAAAACAGTATTTTTAAAGGTAGGAGCTTTGTCTTGATGTGTGTGTCCCCAGTCTCTTTCACTGTACCTGATGAGCACTTAGCAGATGTTGGCTGAATGATGGTTGAATTAATAGGAAAGCATATTTTAAAACAGCTCTTCACCTTAAGTTTCTTGATTTCATCTCTCTCACTTTTCATAAGCTCTCATGGCATACTCCAGGTTTTCTTGTCTCTAATTTCTTATTAACTACCAAAGAATCTTTTATTTTGAAATGTTGGAATTCCTAAAACCTACCAGAAAGATTTTAGGTAAAGATTTACCAAAGATGGAAATATTTTCCACTAGGTCAGAGGCATTGGCATAGCAGTCTTACGTAAATACATAAAATAAATGCAGCATTAAAAGTATTTTTTAATTACCGAAATATACATTTACACATTTTTTCTATATAATGCAACTGCAATACCCTATAAGACGGATGGTTTTTACAATCATAAAAGAGTAAACTCAGACATGATGTAATATGCATATGGAAAACCATTAAGATATAATAAGGGAAATACTGAAAGATAAATGGTCCAGTAATGAATTATACATTACTTCTCATGGATAATGATAACTTAAAAACAGCTCGTCTGTTTTTAGAGCACTTGAGCTCAGAAAAATCAACAGCAACTATTTCACAATGAGATGCAATACCCTCCAGTGAAACTCTGACAATCTCCAATTAAGCAATTCTACAAACTGCACGCAAAACAGTAACTTTTCCTCAAAGGCTTCAGCAAAGGAAGAAAAATTTCACTTTGGGATTTGACATTGAGATGTTTAGTAAAAGGGATGCAAGTGCCAAATTCAAACAGGGCACAACCAGCAGTTGTGTCAGTGATCGTGGGAATATTGTGGAAAGGAAGAAAAGAAAGACAAGAACAAATGGATGCCACAAAAATCAGACAAAGCTGGCTTTGTGAATGATGGATAATTCAAATGACTGCTGTAGGTTCCAGAAACAATGTAAAATCCGAGACGAAGATGTAAACTGCACCGCAAATTAGTGTCATGTATTTTTAAATGTTTCCGTCCTCAGATTCTTAAATCATATCTGCCAGTGTCTCAATAGTCCAGAAGCAAACAGAGTTGTCCATGAAATCTGCTTTCTTCAGGAAAGGTATTCGAATAAGTTGAAGACACCGTGGAAAACTCAAAAAGCAGTCAAATGGGCTGTCAGTCTTCCTTCCCTTCAGTGTGCAAGAATTGGCAAGCAGTCCAAAGCCAAGCCATTAAGGTTCAAGGATACAGCAGCAGCAGAGGTCCAGCTAGACAACCCTCTCCCACACTGTGCCCTCCCTCAAGCAGGTCATTCTCTACAAGGGATGGAGCCCCGGGGAGCGCAGCTGGACTCTGTCCCACTCCAACTGTGGGGTTGAAGGTTTCTAAAGAATTCAATGAACGAATGTGCTTATATGCTGTGTTCATCAGAGCTTTAAAAAAGTAAATAAAGATGAGAAGATAACAGAAGTAATCATCTTAAAGTATTTCTCTATGGTTTATATTTACACCAGCCGTGGATTTTAAAAAGGTAAAAATTGTGTTAATTTTGGTATAAATCTGGAAATAAAAATATACCAAGACAGTATCCTGGGTTCAGGAAATAGGTCGTATTCTAGTTTGTACTCCCAAGATTTAGCACAGTGCTCAAGAAGTATTTATTGCCAAGTAAATGTGAGGCCAAAACAACATCTACATATTTCAAATTATGTAGTTGTATCTGAATTCCTGGTGAATAAATGTGAGGCAATGAATATTCCTGGAGAATAAATCTTTGTACAGTTGATCAATACTGTGCCAGGCAAGGATGAATAAATCCTGGTCCCAGTCCTAAAAGTGCTTACAAGGCTGTTTTACTTGATAGGGAAATTAAGGCATTTACTGGCCACAGCCAACTTCTTCATTGATGAATTTCTTTTAACTTCAAGTGCACTGTCTCACGGTCAGGCAAGTTGTTCTGCTATCCAGATCTAGAACAACTCTACCCTGGTTGAGCCCTCATATGTGGGGATCATCTTCTGGTGACCTTGCACCATTTTCTCCTTAACCTCCACATCTGGAAGAAACACAACGTTATTTGGGGAGGTGGGGCTGCTGGGGAGGCAGCTGGTGAGAAGGGTTTGGGGAGCAGGTGGACATAAGATAGGTTAGCAATGTATCTGGGTTCTTTAAGTCCTGTTTTGAGCCTGTGTGGTCATTGGGGAAGGGATTGCAAACCAGGGAAATGGTACATCACAACCAAGACAAGACGACTTGGGTTCTGAAGCTGTCCACATTTACCTAGGAGTCCTGTAGTCTGTGATTCTTAAACTTCAACAAACAAAAAATACAGAACTGAACCTGGATTTCAGGGACCCTCAACTCACAACTCTTTGTGTCCTAAGGCCTCAAATCTAACTCAGAGTCTAAAGAATATGGCCTATACCTTGAAGTTTTTGTGGAAAAACTCAAGATGAAAAGGGGAATCAAGCATAGCATTTATCTGCCTTCCTGCTGTCTTCAAACCGTGGCAGATAAAAGCTCATACGTATCTATACTCTAGCTGACCTCCTTCCTGTCCTCAAAGAGCCTGAACTGTATACCCCTTGTAAAGCTAGGCTAGACTACAGCAAGAGACTATGAGTACCCTGAAAATAAGGACATACTATATTTCCCTTTGAACCCCCAAAACCTAGCAATGTGTGCTGAACTAAAATAGACCAGTCAGTACTCATCTAGCAGGACCATGCTGAGGAAGTGATGACTGGCAGCTTGTCACCAGCTAATTATTTGGGTTTCATGTGAGTATGTTAAGTCGCTGAATTTGTGCACATGTTTTTTTTGACAGATTGAGATAATAAGATAAGATACAATAAGATAATGTATTGCCTTCTCAGGCACAACAGGACTACAGAAAATTATGCAGAAACAACAGGAAGTCAGACATTCAGTTCCATTAGAATGTGTAAATATAGGTATAGATCCTAGCCATTATTCATTTTCTAATTTTCAGTATGCTACAAGCACTGAAACCATTCACCCTGAAATGCTTTGCACAGTACATTTCACACAACTCTCCCCAGTAATATTAGTTCTATACATATAAATGTGGCTTTGTAGCTTACAAAATAGATTCACACATATATTCTCAAAACTGTTCATTTTCTAGCCTCCTCATAGCTGAGTCCTTTATGAACATTTTTGTTCCACCTTATGCCTAAAATAAACCTTCAAGATATTATGTTATATCTATCACAAAAGTGTGGAAAATGGACCTTCTGAGAAGTTCACACTACCAGTGAGTGTGCAACCATGATTGGAAACCAGGTTTCACTAATTGTAAAGCCAGTTTTTTCCAGTATACAAACTGGCCTCACAATGTGATCTTCACTTTGGCCCTATGGTATAAATATTATGAATATAATTTATTCAATAAGGATACATTGGTAATCTTGCACACCAAGCACTGTTCTAGGCACTGGAGACAATGCAGTGATCAAAATGGACACAACCTCTGCCCTCTTTGGAGTTCACTTCCTGGAGTGTAGGTAGGAAAAGAAACAACAACAAAATATTTGTCAGCTGTCAAGTACTGTGGAGAAAACCAAAGCCAGGTAAGGGGTTGGGAAGTATCGAGAAGGCTGGGCACAGTGTCTCTCACACCTGTAATCTCAACACTTTAGGAGGCCAAGTGGGAGGATCACTTGAGCCCAGGAGGTTGAGACCAGCCTGAGCAACATAGCAAGACAAAATCTCTACCCAGAAAAAAAAGGAAAGAAAAGAAAAAAAATCTTAAAATTAGCCAAGTGTGGTGGCATACACCTGTAGTCCCAGCTACTTGGGAGACTGAGGCAGGAGGATTGCTTTAGACAGGAGTTTGAGGCTGCCTTGAACTATGTTCATGCTATTGCACTCCAGCCTGGGTGACAAAGCAAGACCCCATCTCAGTTAAAAAAATAATACCGAGAAGAATCCCATAGAATTGTAGCTATTGGATGTAAATTGGTCAGGGGACAGCGTCTTTGATAAGATAATATTTGAATGAGTAGAGACCTTAAGGAAGTGAAGTGCTTGCCAAGAACTCTTTGTGGAAAGAATGTTCCACATGACGTGCCTGCAGTGTTGGTGAGCAAAGGAGAGAGTAGAAAGAGATAAGACCAGAAAGGAAGATGAAACTAAATCACAGTCTTGCAGATCTCTAAATGAGATAAACCATTGGGAAGTTTTCATCCAATGAGGGATATAATTCTCCTGCATGAGTACTCTTGCAGCTGTGTGGAGAAAAAAAAACTTTGGGAGTGCAAGAGAGCAACTAGGATGACTAGATCAGAGGCCATTGATATAGATCAACTAGAAAGACGGTGGCGTGGACTAGGATGATGGTGGACATCAAGTTTGACTGCAAAGATTTTTGGCTTGAGCATGGAAAGACAGAGACTTCCAAGACTTGGGAAGAATCAGATTTGGGGTAAAGATCAGGAGTTCCATTTTGAACATGTCACTTTTGATATGCCTATGAACATGTCAAGAAGGCAGCTGGATACCTGAGTATGGATTTTAGAGGAGGACAAATCCATGTTGGAGGCATAAGTGTGGGATTCTTCCAAGGTGGTGATGTTAAATATCATAGATAGAGAGCACTTAGAGAGGACAGAGTCAGAGAAGAGGCCTAGTACACATCAAACTTTAGCTTTTAGAGTTGAGGACGAACCAGTCAAGGAGACTGAGAAGTAATGGGCAAGGAGGAAGGAGGAAAACCTCATGAGACTTCAAGAAAAAAGCATTTCAAGGAGACAATGATCACTTTGTTTAAATGCCACTGGTAATCGAGGAAGAAGACAGCCAAGAATCGAAGACTGAATTTAGCAGTCACAGGACAATGGATGGAGGTTATTGGTCCCAGATTCCCTGAAATGAGAAAACCAAGGTTCCGAGAAGTTAAATAAATTGAACAACCAAAATCACATAGCCAATTAGCAGCAGAACTGAGTCCAGAACTAAACACTGAACACAGGCCATCTGAATCCTGTTTCCTGAATCCCAGACCAGGACTTTCCTTCAATAACATGATGTCATCCTTCTCACGGTAACTGTGATTCATTAGGGGGACTGGAAAAGAATATTAAGACTTTAAACAAAAGGCATAAACTTTAGTAGCAGAATGTCAATGACAGACAATGCTCAAAGGCCCTCAAATCAAATGAAACAGGCAGCCACGGCAACCAGGGCATGCCCAAGTGTCAAAACACACGTCAATACACAAAAAAGTTTACGGCCCCTCAAAAGAAATGATCTATTCATTCTATTTTGCTAGATGGTTTCTACATAAATACCCGAGGCCTGATTACCATCACTTGGTTTCTTTACTAAGTTGCCAAAAATGGGGTAGAGGAGGATTTTAGTAAATCAAACTAATGTTTAGGCAGAAAAAAGGCACAAGAAAGCCCTAAACAATTTAAGTATTAAAAACTAGTTTTAATCGTCCCTACCGCTACCCTCAAATCCACAACCACCACCAAACTAAGAGGCGCTATGATTGCAAGAGCCGACTCTGTTGCAAACCTCCGCTGGACAGTTTTGCAGACTAGGAAGTGAAGATTTCCAGTGGGAGGAAGAGCGAAGAAGAGGACATAGACAAGCTAGCAAAGGGAAGGTGCAAAATAGGAAAGTTACCAGGACAGGCAGGGAGGGACTGTCACAGGGGAGGGAGAAGAAGGAAGGCAGCCACTTTTCCAGGGAGAAGTTGTTTCCAGGTAGAAGTTGAGCAAAGAGTTGGCACCGGGCCCTCTCTACCTCTGGAGAGAAGGAAAAAGCAAAGCTGGTTCGCGTGGTAGAGAAGAGCCCACTTCCAGAGTCCAAATGGCATCGCCTGGTGTTCGTTGTCTGCCTCTGGGGCTGCAACTAACTCCTCATGCCTCTTTTGCCGCCTTTCCTCCCTGGAAAGAGGAGGTGAAAAGGGTCCCCGGGCTCGGGTGGGCATGATCGCCGGACGCAGGCAGCCGGGGGTTACCTGATACCTCCGTGTCTCCCCAGAAGGCGCGGCGCCGCCCTCCAGCCCCACCCGGCCACTCCGCGGTCCTCGGGCTCTGGTGTCTGTCCAATCTCCGGGACCCGACGCCCGAGGCGGCCGTCCGCGAGACCCGGAGCACGAGCCTCACCCTCAACGCTGGGCACTGCTCAAGGCCGTTCGAGGAGCAAGGACACCTACTGGCCGCGCGGCTCGGCTCGGCCCGGGCCGGGCCGGGCGCCGGAACCCAGGAAACACGGCCCCGCACGCCCCCTACCGGGCGGGCTCCATCTGCGCCCCAGCCGAGTCCGGTACTCGCATCTTGGCAGCCTCACCTACCTTGAGGTTCCCAGCTCCCTGTCATCCTGTGAGCAAATGATTTCAGCAACCATCACAGCAAAACCTAGTCGAGGGTTGCTGGCTCACAGTTTCTCCACTTTTTTGGAGTTTGTGCCAAATAATTTAAAGACCCTCCCCATCTTTTTCCAAATTCTGGCGTTTGAGAAGGGAAAATTCAAAAAGATGGGGATATAGGAGCCCCTAAGTGCTCTCCCCAGAAGCCAGGGAATTGTATTTCTGTTTCTCTAGGGCCCCGAAGAACCTGGCTTTCTTGTAATTACAACTGCCTTTCACTGAAAAGTGGCTTCTTTCCTCCTGCTCCCTGCCCCGTGACAGTCAGTCCCTCCCTGTTCTGTCCTGGTAACTTTCCTGCTCTGCGCCTTGTTCCTGTGCTAGCTTATCTACCTCTTTTTCCTCTTTTATCCCGGCTTTTGGAAATTTTCACTTCCTGCTCTGCAAAACCATCGGAGCAAGGCCTGCTGCGGACATGAGGACCACTGCAAATATTTTTTTCCAGGTTCCGAGATGGATGCAAAAGACGCAGGAGCTGACAGTCTAGTTAATTTTTAGCTGACAAAGAAAGTCTCTCTCTCTCTCTCTCTCTCTCTCTCTCTCTCTCTCTCACCTACTATTTGAGTAGTTTTGTTTCCATCAGCACTCTTGTCTGTCCTTCCAGTCCTTTCATCCTGACTCTCTTCCTGAATTGAACTTAGGGAGGCAAGAGTTTAAATTAGAAGCAGTAAAATTGTATAATAAAAGGAAGAAACAAACCAGGCCTTGCTTCTTAACAGGATGACTAATACAGTTTATGGATTATCTTGGTAGTTACATGACTAATAATAACCATTAACATTTATTGAGTTCTTACTGCTGACCAGAAACTGTTTTAAGAGCTTTATTTATAATAATAATAAAATCAGCTCTTATGTAATGTTTTAAATGTTTACGTTTATTAACACATTAAACAAAACAACCCTGTAAGATGGGTAATAATATTATCCCCTTTTTACAATTGAGGAAATTGAGACAAAGAAGCAGGTACATTTCCTAAGGTCACACAGCTAGAAGTAAGTTATAAAGCTGGAATTTAAGCCCTGACAGCCTGGCTCCAATGTCCCTATTCTTAATACTCTTAGTTACCATGTTATACTGCCTAAATAAAACAAACAAACAAAAAACACTATGATCCCAGGTCTCATTTAATTTTCACAATAAAGCTACAGGACGGGTACTGTTATCGCCTCCTTTTATGAAGAAAGGAAACAGGCACAGAGAGGCTAACTAATAGTCCGGAACACAGAGCTACTAACTTGTACAGGCAAGATTAGAACAGTGAATCTCGATCCTTAACTAACCATGGGAGGGAGATACTTTTTTTCCTACATTCAATCATGCAAAGGGAGAAAGAATTGCCTAGAAAATGTGTGATGCTTTCATAACCTTCAATTAGTGAGCCCCAACTGGGCTTGTTGGCTCTTGCCTATAATCTCAGCACTTGGGGAGGCCAAGGATTGATTGAGGCCAGGAGTTTGAAACCAATCTAGGCAACTACCAGGACAACATTGTGAGACCCTATCGCTACAAAACTAAAAAATTTAAAAAATTAGCTGGGCGTGGTGATGCATGCCTGTAGTCCCAGCTACGTGGGAGGCTGAGGCAGGAGGATTGCTTGAAAACAGGAGTTTAAAGCTGCAGTGAGCTTTAATTGTGCCATGAAACAGCAGCCTGGGCGGCAGAGGGAGAGCTCATCTCTTAAACAAAAACAAAAACAGCCCCTTGTATGACGGTTAAACAAATCCAGCCCCTTTATTAGATTGAAGGATGCGAAGGATCCTGGGTGTGTCTGTGAGGGTGTTGCCAAAGGAGATTAACATTTGAGTCAGTGGACTGGGCGAGGCAGATCGACCTTCAATGTGGGTGAGCACCATCCAATCAGCTGCCAGCGCAGCTAGAATGAAAGCAGGCAGAGGAACATGGAAGGAATAGACTGGCTGAGTCTTCTGGCCTTCATATTTCTCCCGTACTGGATGCTTCCTGCCCTAGAACTTCGGACTCCAAGTTCTTCAGCTTTTGGACTCTTGGACTTATACCAGTGGTTTGCCAGGGGCTCTGAGGCCTTCGGTCATAGACTGAAGGCTGCACTTTCGGCTTCCCTACTTTTGAGGTTTTGGGACTCAGACTGACTTCCTTGCTCCTCAGCTTGCAGGTGGCCTAGTGTGGGACTTCACCTTGTGATGATGTGAGTCAATTCTCCTTAATAAACTCCCTTTCATACCTACATCTATCCTATTAGTCCTGTCCCTCTAGAGAACCCTGAATGATCCACCTGGGCTTCAGGCTGAGTCCCTGAGAGTCGACGCCTGACATTAGGCTGAATTGTCGGTTCAAGCAGCTGCTCTCTTCCTGCACTCCACTAGCAATGCCAAGAGCACAAGGGGCCCTTCGCCAAACTCAGGGCCAGACTAAGGTCCAGCTGTATTACCTACAGGTGAAACAACTGTTCCCTTAGGAGACCAGGGCATTACAAAAAAAAAAGCCTCCACACAGTGTGGCACATCGTGCGCTCTCATCCCTTCTGTGGCCAGGTCTCCTGGACACTTTGGGAAGGGACAACTAGGGGCGCCAGTGTCACCAAGTAACCTTTGCCCTTTTAGAGGAAATAACGTTGCTTTCTCCAGGAGCACAACAGTAATTGAAGAAGAGGCACAGAGGGCAAGTAGAACCATGACCATACGAACATCTGGAGTTATCAGAGTTTATGGCATTCATTTCTTTCTCCCTGCCGAGGTGAGGCCTTTCTCACCTGATAGAATGAATTTTTCAAGGGATTTTGAGGCTGATCAAGGGAAAAAACATAATCACGAAGTGGGAGTAGCACACAATGAGCTCTATTTGGGAAGCACTTTAGGTTTGCGTGGTGAGGGGGAGTCCCCCGCAGCGTGGACCCATCCAGAGCTCTGGCAGCATGGAGGCCACCACCCCGAAGACAGGAGGATAAAGGAGGCCCTGAAGAAGAGGAATCAGAGAGGGGACTTCCATATTTAGGTAGCGTCCCTCAGCACACTGCAAAATCTCAGGATCACATACCCACAAAGGGCAGCTGCTGAGTGGGTTCTTTTTAGATGCAAAGTTTATCTTTGCAGAACTTGGGTGCAGTTGCTCAGGGTTGACGGAGCAGGCAGTTTCTAAACAGCTAAAAATCTGTTTATTTAGGCTGTGTTTAAAGCATTAAGATATATAAACATTTGACTTGTTGCCAACCTGCTGTTAAAAAAAAAAAAATCAACAACCTTACCAACCTTGGCAACATAGTGAGATCCCATTGCTACCAATTTTTTTTTTTTAACTGGCTGGGCATGGTGGCATGCACCTGTAGTCCCTGCTACTCAAAAGGCTGAGACAGGACAATCACTAGAGCTCGGGAGTTGGAGATTACAGTGAGCTATGATTGTACCACTGCACCCCAGACTGGGTGGCAGGACGAGAGCCCCCACCTCCATCCATCCCTTAAAATAATAATAATAAATTGTAAAAAAAAAAAAAACAAACAAAAAAAAAACACACACACACACACACACACACACACAGCTTAGAAGTCAATATGCAGAGGCGATTTGGGGGTCATTTATTATACCCTAACTGCTAGATTGGAAGTACCTCCAAACACACAGAGAATCCCAAATTCTCAATTACAGATTTTGACCTGAGGACCCATTTCAAATGCTGTTGACTGACACTAAGAACAATATCTACCACATCACCCCTTCAGCACAAAAACAGAGAAACATAACATATGGATAAGAACTTACACACATACAAAAAGAATGAGTGGGGGATATTTAATCTATAATAATCTATGTGGCAATTTGAGTGCACAGGTGTATCCACAGAAGTGGCTGTTGCTATCCGGTAATAAAATAACTTCACCAGCAGGTGGCTCTATTACACTATTACACTAACCATTAGAGAGGACTGGGCTTCCAACAAAGGACCTTAAAATACAGTTCTTTTCTTTTCTTTTTCTTTTTTTTTTTTTTTCTTTTGAGACAAAGTTGAGACAGGGTTTCACTCTGTCACCCAGGCTCTGAAATGGAATGCAGTGATTCAAACACAGCTCCCTGCATCCTGGACCTACTGGGCTCAAGGAATCCTCCCATCTCAGCCTCCTGTGTATCTGGGACCACAGGCACACACTGCCAAACCCATCTAATTTTGTTACTTTTTGTAGTCTCATTTTGTTGCCCATGCTGGTCTTGAACTCCTGGGTTTAAGTGATCCTCCCACCTCAGCCTCCCAAAGTACTGGGATTACAGGCACGAGCCACAGCACCCAGCTAAAATAGAGTACTGTATTTCTAAGTTATTTGAATTTTGGTTTGAATTAGCTCTAATAAACCTTATGTATTCATCGAAATCTGTAATGATATATGCAACATAAAATCCATTCACAATGAAATCCAACAGATTCCTCCAAGCATCTCAGGAAATTAGGCACAACTAGATTATATCACAGAATGTACTAATTAACAAAATCTATTTACTAGACAGCCAACCCATTTCTGGCACCATAGAACATGAAATGGGTAAAATGACTACCACTCATTCTGTATTACCTGACATATCTAACAGCAAAGGTTTCATATATATGTATACATAATGTGTATACATATATCTGTGTGTATATATGTGAAATATTGTTTATAATTCTTTCATTTGAAAGCATTCCAGGGCACAGATAAATAGCTAAATCACATCCAAGCGATGTCATTTGGCGATCTGAAAGTCTTTGGCTTTTGTGTAGGCACAGGGCCATGAGGTAGAGCCAGAGCCGTTCTTCCCCTCTCTGCCTGTTCTGCCAGCTCTTAAATTCAGTCCAAATTC